AAGCTGGGCTGTGTGATCTGTGTGACCGGCAGCACAGTGATGGTGATACACGCCCCCGAGGAGGAGAAGGTCACCACTGTCATTGAGATGGCTGCCAAGATGAAAGACACAGGTAGGCCCCAGGCCCCCCACCGACCCCGCAGCCCCTCTCCGTCCACCCCTGAACAGGAAAGCCCTGGGGATCAAGTGGAAAGGCTGACTGGGATGGGAGCATCTCAGGTGCTGCCACCTGGAGGAGAAGGCAAGCTACAGAAAGTTGGCGGCTGGTGCTAAGGCCAGCTTATAGGTTTCCCAGCCTGATATATGCCCACCCCATTTATTCAGAGTGCAGTGTGTGCCAGGCACTGTGCTGAATGCTTTATCCGCATTGTCCAGGGGTGGGGAACGTCCAGCCCGTGGCCCAGATAAGGCCTGTGAAAGCACTTGGTCTGGCCCTGCCAAAGCATTAGGGGTGAGTTAAATGTTTGACCAAAGAGAGCAGGCTAATTTTTAAGTGGATACTTTTGTCTCGCCCGAGAATGATGTTATAAATATCCAAATGGCCCTCGGCAGAAAAAGGCCCCCCACCCCTGGCATTGTCTCTGTCAGTTGTGGCTGCTATAACAGAATGCCATAGACTGGTTGGCTTATAAACAACAGCGATTATTCCCCAAGGTTCCGGAGGCGGGAAAGTCCATGAAGGTGCTGGCAGACTGGGTGTCTGGCGAAAGCTGGCTTCCGGATTCATAGATAACCATCTTCCCACTGTGTCCCATGGGCGGAGGGGTTGAGGGAGCTCTCTGAGGTCCTTTAATAAGGATACTAACCCCGTTCCTGAGGGCTCCATCCTCATGACCAATCACCTTCCAAAGGCCCCACCCCCAAATACCATCACTTTGGGGATTATGTTTCAACATATGAACTTGGGGGGGACACATTCTGCCTTACAGCATACATTATCTCATTTAATCCTGTGAGGAAAGCTCTCTGTGGAAGACCTTTTTTTAAAAAAAAATCTTTATTGTTGAAAGTATGAAGGTCTTATTATTAGCCTTAGTTTACTACAGCCTTGGGGTTTCTCTGTCCCCCTCCTCTCTGAAGGGTACATCGTGTTTGCTGTGCTGCTGCTGGTCTTCTGCCTCATCCTCATCTTCGTCGTCGCCCCACGTTACGGACAAAGGAACATCCTCGTCTACATCGTCATCTGCTCTGTGATCGGGGCCTTCTCGGTGTCTGCTGTCAAGGGTCTGGGCATCACCATCAAGAACTTCTTCCAGGGGATGCCAGTCGTGCGGCACCCCCTCCCCTACATCCTGTCCCTCATCCTCGCCCTTTCGCTCAGCACTCAGGTCAACTTCCTCAACAGGGCGCTGGACATCTTCAATACCTCCCTGGTGTTCCCCATCTACTACGTGTTCTTCACCACCATCGTGGTCACCTCCTCCATCATCCTCTTCAAGGAGTGGCACAGCATGTCCGCCGTGGACATCGTGGGCACCCTCTCGGGCTTCGTCACCATCATCCTGGGTGTGTTCATGCTTCATGCTTTCAGAGACCTGGACATGAGCCAGACACGCTTGCCCCACATGCACAAAACCCCCACCCCGGCCCCGGCCC